AATATGTTGTCTGAGAAGCACATTGCCAAGAAATGCTAAGGATGGAAAAATAAGCATATGTACATATTTGTGGTCAATTTTTGGGCTAGAGGGTGACTTGAAGATAGTTGTTATACATATGTAGAAGAAAAGGCGGCCATGTTTCTTATAACATTGAGTTAGAATCTACGAAATCGTTTTGGTAAGTGAAAATTCAATCATTCTAAGCAAAAAATACATAAGTACTTTTATGAAGTGTTATGTGTTATACTCAATTTCTCGAAAGAAACGATTTATCCCTCTTCATACAATCCCCCTACAAATCAAATTCAGCATAATCGTCGTGTAAGAGAAATATTTAAGGTAATATTATAAGTTTTAGTTATGAAATTTTCATTTATTAAAATTATATAAAATATGCAATGCTCTCTAGCTTATTAGAGATTTTAAAGTTTTAAAGGGTGCATTGGGTGCACTTGATGGAACATTTATTTCTGTTGCCATACCACCTGACCAACAAGTTCCTTATAGAGAAAGAGAAAGAGGCAAATTTTACCAAAATGTACTTGCTATATCTGATTTTGATATGGTTACTAACATCCTACTATGTGAGGGAAAAAATAAAAATAAACATGGTATTTTACATAAACAAAATCATGTAGCAAAAAAAAACAAACAAACAAACAAACAAACAACCAAACAAACGAAAGACAAAAATAAACATGAGGCTTTCCGAACAGTTATAGCAAAAATAAACAATTGAATATTCAAACTTCTAGGAATATGAGGCTTTTTAAACACTTATAGCCATGGACATTGGAAATGGCCTTTGACTCAGTAGTTCATGTAATTGTCTCTTGGGAGAGTAAGAATATTAGAGATTTGGGTTCAAGTAGATGGATATTGATAGTCACTTGATCGGATCACATTTATGTTAACGGTAAATATGATTTTAAAAATAAATTGTTGATGGAAATGTGATCTGAGCAAGTGACTATCGATATTCGATCAATATAATCTTTTGTAAAGATAAAGTACTTGACGAACCTTACACATTAAATGGTTCAAATCACTGATGTGGACTCTGTGGTGAGCTTACGGAGGCCCAATAGCACCATCCAATTGGTTTTTCCAACTGGAGAGAAGCTTCTCCTAATTACAAATATATCCCTTGATGTTTTTAAGATATATATTACCTTATGTGATTTTGAAAATTATCTCTCACCCATCAAGTTTTTAATGGCATAACAAGTTTTTTTTTTTATAAATAAATTATCAACTCAATTAACCATTTTTAATGATGTCATAAATATATTTCAATTAACAATTCAAGTATTTTTATTATTGTATAGGAGAGTAATAATTTTTATTTATTTTTTCTGTTAAGTCATTTAAATAAAAAAATTATGATAAAAGAGTATTTGTAATTTTAAAAAACTATAAGAAAAAATTCGTATTTTAAACAAATTTTAAAAAGTATAATACACCCTAAAATGAATACCCAAACACTTTTTTATAGTTGGTTTGGTTTTAATTTTTTTTTTTGGGACTAAAAAAGTAAAAAAAAATCAAAATATCACATCATATATATTAATTAATAATTTATTCTTTCCGTAACAACTATATATTCAATTGAAAGAATCAAACAATGTGATCAAGTTTTTCACCTCATTAAAAAAAAAATAACTAAAAAAATTACCAAACGGGCCCTTATAGTAGTCCAGTGCTTAACGGCTTACCATGATGACTACTGTTTCACTGTTCTAACATTTACAACTCAGTAGAACTAACACTTCTCTTGGATGGAGAAGTTTGGTAAGAAACAAGAAGAAATAGTGAGAATACACTACAAAAAAATTTGTTTTTTGCGACGGTAAACGGCCGTCGCAAATACTCCCGAAAGCCGTCGCTAATGTATTTTGCGACGGTAATGTGACTTTTTGCGACGGTAAGGGGGGGTCGCGACAGACGGGGTTGCAAAAGACCTTTCGCGACGGTAAGTACCGTCGCCATTAGTTTCTGCGACGGTAAGCCAAGTTTTTTGCGACGGCATTTTTCCCGTCGCAAATAATGGGGGAAAAATCACTTTTCGCGACGGCACGTAATTCCCGTCGCTAAAAAAACTCCGTGTTTTTTGCTATGTTTTCTTGTAGTGATAAGAAACTCCTTCATTTGGTTAGATGGTTAAGTATGTGAGAAATAATGAGAGATTGTGAGAAAATAATTCTCACAAAACCTATGTTTTGTTTCTCACCAAAAGTAGTGAGATTTGGTGAGAAAGGAATTAAATTTAATAAAAGTTTTTTTAAAAAACCAAAATTACCCTTATAAAAAAATATAACTTATTAATATAAAAGGTTATTTTGGTAAAATGAAAGACAACACTTTCCTTTCTTTTCTCTTATTTACTCTATCCAAACAAGATAGGTGACAAATCACATTTCTTATGTTTTATTCATCCAAACATAATGGTAAGAAATTATAATAATTTCTTTTCTTTTTCATCTAGGTGAGAAATCACAATCATTTCTTTTCTCACCTCACCTCCATAGGTGTCCTAGAGTTATTCGAGGGTGCTTTGCAATTCAAACTCTTGATCTCCTAATCTGTTTTCACTAGTGCAATGTGAAACGCAAAATGAGAGTCTAGATCTAACAACTTTATAGAATAAAAAAAATCCATTTATTGCAAAATATGCCAGAAATGGACTATATTACTAGATCTTGAAGTCGTTACCTAATTGTTTGGAAAAACTAGGAAACTTGTCACTCGTGCCAAATGTCACTGTCTGTCATAACCAAAAATGTCTCGGTTTGGGACTTTAGGTATGAGAGGGGAAGATCATGAATTGAGCACCACAATCACCCAATCAAATGATCGCTCTCTACTAAATCATGATATGAGTTTTATAAATAATATATGCTCATATTCTGATTATTAATTAATGTTAACATTACTATATAAAACAATCAAGTATAAACTGCGTCATTCATCTTGGAATGTTTTGATCTCATGCATGTTAAAAGAGTTTTGAGATATGCACACAAGAGAAATTGAGCTCACAGGCGTAAAAATCACTACTATTTCAAATTAAGCAACACAACTTCTATCCATTAGCAATCATAGAAATATATCAACTGAGCACGTAGTCGCATGGTAAGATGCTAGACATAGTAAGAAAAATCATGCATAGGCGGAATGCCAAGGCTATAAGTGCTCACATAGTATGTATTGGTGTCTCGCAAATGAATAAACAAAAAGTTAGCACATTATGCATGATCCTATATGCGAAATACTAATGTAATACACACAAGAATGCAACTATAGATTTGGCTCACGTATATGACATGTAAGTCGTCTCAAGGCATGAGGTAGCATACGAAATCATGTTTCAAATGAAAAAAAAATCCACATATGCAGATGAGTTGAATTCGAATGCATGAAATATGTATGCAAGGCATTGATATGATAAAAAGAAAACGTGATGCTATTAATAAGTATGGAAAACATGGAAATGAAAGGGAGAGAAAGAAATGGTAATTGGAAGACATGCATAGCAAAGGGATAGAAAGAAATGAAAGTTGGAAGTTATTATAACAAACCTTTACAATGAAAGGAACAAAATACGTGAAGTTAGAAGTTAATACATCAATGAATGAATAGAAAGACGTGGGATTAGAAGTTATGTACAACAATGAATGAATAGAAATATATGGGGTTGGAAATAATGTATAATAATGAATTGACTCAACCAACAGAAGTTGAATCTAACAAATCATAATGTTAATCCAAGATAACTAAAGAGAGATGGTGGAAGCTGTAGGTTCAAGAGATCGTACATTAGAAATTGCCTTGTTATGCTATATTCTTCCTAGAAAAGTCCTCTGGCTGTATGAATAAACCATCTGGCTAGATAAAACACATTTTGTAACCCTTGGAAGGTTGAAGATGATACAAGGAAAGTGGAGGTAGGGTGCTCTCAACAAGCTTCTAGCCTTTGCAAATATTTTGCAACCATTGGAAATGAAGCCTATAAGGTGTGTATATAAAGAGTTGTGGACACAAATATCTCAAGGAAGCCGAATTTCCCGAAAATGCTCTGTATCTGGACAAATCAGTTGGCTTATTTATCTGGCCGACCACATTTTCCATCCGGCCATAAGATGTTATATGGCCAGTGAAAAAAAAATGTACCGCTAGATTAATAGTGCAAGGCTAGCATATTTTGAAGGGAAAACATGAATTTTCAGAGATTTCCAACCCTTTCATTCACTTCCATTCTATTCTTTGCTCAGTCTATTGAAAAAGAAAATATTAGGAGTTGGAAAACGTGAGTCTCAGAATATTATGGAAATATTTGGAATTACTCAGCCAAAATATTTTGAAAAAGGATTTTAGAAGAGTCAAAAAGCATGTTGGCCAAAACGAGTATTAAGTCAGGATAGTTGGGATTAAAATTTAAATTTTAGTATCCTGTTGAGGAATTCAAAAGATTACACATTGTGACTTTCATCATCAGGTGTTTTGAAATAAAGTACCAAGTCTTAATATCGATCAAAATAGTGTGTTTACAATCTCGTGATCCAAACTGAGTCTAATGGTACATTCCAAATTCAAAGGCTGTGATTTTATCATAATCAAGATGTAGTGATTTTTTGTAGAATGATTTTAAAGTGATTTTTTGAATAATTAAAATTTAATTTTACAAAAATTAAGAATACAGTAATACTAAGTCGCGGGTACATACATAATTATTTAAAAAAAATTCTCAACCATATAAAAAGTCCCTCTGAGATCACCCTATACAAGACGTCACTCCAAAGCATCTGAAATCAATTTATCAAGAAACTCCATCAAAATCACATATACACCATCCATTCCGTGGTCCCCACACCTAATCTTCCAGTCAAGGCCCAATCGGCCACGTGTACAGTGATCTGAGGTTCTGTATGATACACCTTACCGCAGCTTCACATAACCTCTACACTTTCTCTCAAAGACAATTTCCCATTGCATGCTCACCCACACGATACAGAGAGAGAGAGATAGAGAACAGCACAAGCTTGAATAAAAGGAACACTGTAGCGCACGTTAATCAACGACGCTCCACAGGCGCACGTTAGCATCCGTATGCGATGTCTTTCACCTGTGTCTACGATTCTTCCTCTCTGTCTGTCCCTCTGTCGAGCCTTATCCTGCGCGGCAGTCCCACCTCGCTCGCGCTTTCTCTCTCCTCTAGGGTTAGGGTTGGGTTTCTTTCTCTCTCTCTCCATTCTCTGGCCTTAAAATTTTCATCTCCCTCAATGCTCTTCAGATACCTAGGGTTTCAGTCCTCAGGGTTCTTCTCTTCTCAACAGTCGTATGGACCCCAAGCGACACTCCAAAACCTCCTTATCTTACTCGACACTCTTCAATCTTGAGGTTTGTGTAATGGGTTTTTGCTCTTCTCAATTGGGTTGTGTTTGCTTTCTTCACTTGATGTCTCTTCCTTTTATCACTTGATTCAATTTCTTTTGTGGAAAGTTCTCTTTTTTATTCTTTGTTTTTTATTTTTTATTATGTATTTGTATTTTTTTTTAATTTTTATTTATTTATTTTCATGGTAATTTCAATTGGGCATGTTGAATTTATTTGTTTTTTACCTAAAAATTTTGAATGAATTTTTTGTGTTATTTATTTATTATATATATATTTTTTGGGTTTTTATTGTAGTCTTTGATGAACTTTCAACTACCACAACAAGATGATGGTTTTGATTATTATGGGAATAGTAGTCAGGATGAGAGCAGAGGTACCCAAGGTAGGCACTTTTGTTTCTAGATAGTTTTCATTGGTTTTGCCAATTCTTTCTTAATAGTTTTGATATTTCAATGATGACCCTTTTGGATTGAACACTTGAACATATATTCATTTTACAAATTCATAACCATCTCTTTTGCTTTTCTACTAGTATGATTTAATTTTAGTTGTTTTGATCGACTGGAGATTTGAGCTAGTAAAGTATTAACTTTGTGTGTATGGATTGGCTGCATTCTTTTGGTTATAAATAGGTGGAGCCATGGGAGACCGCAGTAATGGGACTATGTCGGAGAGGGACTTGAGTTTGGCAAAGAAGAAGAGGCGGAACACATATAGCAGTGACGAGGAGGAGGACGGCAGCCACGGTGTACATATTACGGAGGAGCGGTATCGGGCAATGCTTGGAGAACATATTCAGAAGTACAAGAGGAGGCCCAATAATTCCTCTGCAAGTCCTGCATCTACCCGAATTGGGATTCCGGCTGTGAAAAGTAGTTCCAAGGGTCGGAAATTGAGAACTGATCATCGAGGAGGGTTGCATGAAATTGAAACAACATCGGATTTTCTCAATGACGTTAGTCCCCAAAAGCTGGGAAACTATCATGAAGTAGATTTTGCACCGGAATATGGCATCGATAGGTTTTCTTCTTCCCTAAAATCTTGTATGAATGCTGAAATATTTGAATTACCACTATTAAGTGATACTTGAATTTTGGAAAGATTTTTTAGTTTATTCAAATGTGGAAAACACTTTGCAGATCAAATTATGAACCTGCTTACCTGGATATTGGAGATGGCATCACTTATAGGATACCTCCAACTTATGAAAAGTTGGCAGCATCACTCAACTTACCGGGCATGTCAGATATCTGGGTAGAGGAATTTTACCTTAAGGGCACCCTTGATCTGGGGTCATTGGCTGCAATGATGGCAAATGATAAGAGATTTGGGCCTAGAAGTTGGGCAGGGATGGGTGAACCCAGGCCCCAATATGAATCACTTCAAGCAAGATTGAAGGCCCTGTCAGCCAGTAACTCAGGTCAGAAGTTCAGTCTGAAAGTCAGTGATGTTGGGCTGGATTCATCTTCCATCCCCGAGGGAGCAGCTGGAGGAATAAGACGGTCTATCTTGTCTGACGGTGGTGTGTTGCAAGTTTACTATGTGAAGGTGTTGGAGAAAGGAGACACATATGAGGTCAGTATTTTCTTTCGTTGAGATATAATGGGGCGATCACATTATGCTTTTATGTTTGGATAGTGGGGTTGGCTTGTTTTCTTAGAAATATGTGGACTTGTTGCTGTACAGATCATTGAACGAAGTTTACCTAAGAAGCAAAAGATGAAGAAAGACCCTTATATGATTGAGAAGGAAGAAATCTAAGAAGCAAAAGATGAAGAAAGACCCTTATATGATTGAGAAGGAAGAAATGGAGAAGATTGGGAAATATTGGGTAAACATTGTAAGAAAGGACATACCAAAACACCATAGGATTTTCACCAACTTTCATAGGAAGCAACTAGCTGATGCCAAGAGGTTCTCAGAAACCTGTCAGAGAGAGGTACATATTAATTTTATCTGGGCCCGTAGCTGGCTTACCATATTTTTGTACTCGCATTTTGGGAACTGATATTCTACCCTTCAAGCCTTAGTGATGGTTGATTATAATGTTTGTTATTAGTACTTAGTGCTGTATATACATCTTGTAGCTACCTTGTCGGTTATATTGTTCTATTCTGCAAGCTTACTGGTGGGTTTTCTTTTCTAGGTGAAAATGAAGGTGAGTAGATCACTTAAATTGATGAGGAGTGCCGCAATTCGCACAAGGAAACTGGCCAGAGACATGCTGGTGTTCTGGAAGAGAGTTGATAAAGAGATGGTACTCTTCTTTTCCATTTGTTAAATTGTTCGAATAAAACTTGGTTGTTAAAGGGGCTTTGACAACATAGCATCTTTCAAATAGGCATATTTATTTGTAATTTCAGTGGAAAACAAAGAAGCTCTCTCTCTCTCTCTCTATATATATATATACCTTTGTATATATATGTATCTATAGATCAAAATTAATGCGTATTGTGTTTCAATAGAATCGTTCAAGTCCTTGCATAATATATGCATGCTGTTGTACATTTATATGATGGCTTTATTTCTATGATCCTTGGTGGTATGTAGATGAGCCGAGTCCATTAACCTCAACCAACTATATAAGTTTTATCACTCTTCTACCATGGTATTTGACTTGCAAGCCTTTATTTGCCTATTTGTTGAAATGCTATGTCATCTTAACTGCTAACCTTGAGCTGTATTAAAGTCGAGGATGTGAAGATTTGATGGGTTTTTGGATGCACTTGTGCGTCCATATCTTGATGCTTAGAAGATATAAAGAACATGAATTCTGACAATTTATTACACCAAGAACTACTATATGAAGAGACTGTTTTGAAGTTATACAAATCTATTTTAAAAATAATTTTTACCAGAATAATTCTCTAGTGTGTAATCTCTCTTTTTGCAGGCTGAAGTGAGGAAAAGAGAGGAAAAAGAAGTTGCAGAAGCTTTGAAGCGTGAACAGGAGCTTCGTGAAGCAAAGAGGCAACAGCAGAGGCTCAATTTCCTGTTGTCACAAACAGAACTCTACAGTCATTTTATGCAAAACAAATCTACTTCACAACCATCTGAAGTGTTGACTGTAGATGATGATAAATTGAATGACCAAGAAATGCTTTTGAGTTCTTCTGAAGCTCAGCCTGGAGAGGAAGATGATCCTGAGGAGGCTGAATTGAAAAAGGAGGCATTAAGAGCTGCTCAAGATGCAGTTTCCAAGCAGAAAAAAATAACAAGTGCATTTGATACTGAATGTTTAAAGCTGCGGCAAACTGATGATTTGGAGCTCCCTGACCAGGATGCGTCAATTGCAGGATCTAGTAACATAGATTTATTGCATCCGTAAGCCCCTCTGCCATCCCTATTAAAAATTATTTTCTTACTGAAAGTACTATGATGTTGGAGGCATTTCATTTTTTTTATTCTGTTAGTATGTTGAAACCTTCCATTTCAATGCTGTCAGCTCGACCATGCCCATAAAATCATCAGTGCAGACACCAGAGTTATTTAAAGGTTCCCTCAAAGGGTATCAGCTAAAAGGCCTTCAGTGGCTGGTAAATTGTTATGAGCAGGTAGTTGGAAATTCCACAGACTAGTCTTTTCTCTCTGTACAAGCACTCACTTATATCTTTATGTAGCTGTTAACTTCAGCTGGTCTGATATTTTCTAGGGTTTAAATGGTATTCTTGCTGATGAAATGGGCCTGGGAAAGACCATCCAAGCCATGGCTTTCTTGGCTCATTTGGCTGAAGTAAGTAAACTATTTGGTTATAATTTTATCTAGAAAGTTTCTAATGGTATCATGGATTTGTTGTGTCAGGACGTTGCTTATAGTAACTTGGATTGGTTTATGCCATACAGGAAAAAAATATATGGGGGCCTTTTCTGGTTGTTGCACCTGCTTCTGTCTTGAACAACTGGGCTGATGAAATTAGTCGTTTCTGCCCTGACTTGAAAACTCTTCCTTATTGGGGTGGGCTTCAAGAAAGGACGGTTCTTAGGAAAAATATCAACCCAAAGCGTCTCTATCGTCGGTAATTGTCTGCTACCATGGGTTCATTTTTTTTCTTTGTAAAAGTTATTTTCTTTTTCTTCCCTGGTAAGATGAAAACTGATACTTCTTTTTTGGCATTTGCATGGTATTTTAGTGTTTTTTTAGATTCTTATCTCAATAAACATTATAATAAATGTGGTGTCATTCATAAATTCCCTTTCTTTAGATATAACAAGTTTCAACATGGGTATCCACATTTGACGCAGAAGAAAGATGCTTGACCGAAGAGACTAGAACATATATTTAGAAACTTCTGTCTAAGAATGCAGTTTTGAAAATATGATGAAGTTGGAGTGTGTGTACAGTTACGTAAAGGTTGATAGTGTATAGAAAAGTATATATGTGAATATTCACCGTACTGTAATTCATGCACTGCGAATAATGAATATGTTGTAGTTAAATATTTTCATGTGTAGGATAGCTGCTCTATAGCGCTACCTATGCATAACCAAGTGGAACTTGTCCTCACTAGTGTAGCTGATGAACCAAGTTGTGTGAGGCTCTACAATTTAGCTGGAGGTTCCAGGTTCAACTGCTAACCTGGACTGGCCTAGATACACGAGGAGTGGTTTGCCTCTTTGATGGGTACTAAGGGCCAGTAGGGCAATAACAGTTAACTAGCAAAGGAATAAAAGTTAATGACCAATATGCTGTAGACAAGAAGTCTGAACTTACTCCCAATGGCATGGAGTATAAACTCTTTTATTCTTTAAATTTATAATCAGCGGCGAAATCAGAGATTCTGTGTGAGGTTGGTTGGTCTGTTCCAGTACAACCAGGCTTGCAAAGGAGTTGAGGAAACACAGCAAAAAGAAAAAAGACGGGAAAATCAATCCATCACTGTAATCTTTTGCAATCTTCAGATTTACCCCTTATCTGCTCATTAACCACCTTAGTGTGGACTCAACAGGTATTTCCCCTTGGCATAACAAACTAATTGCATGGTAGTATTTGAACAGTGACACCAGAGTTGGTGCATGAAATGGGATTTGACATATTTTACGAAGTGCATCTGTCAGGCAGAGAACATTATAGACTATTCATGTTAGTTAGAATGCATTAATGGTTTTCTTTTGATAATTTTAATAGGAAACAACAAATTGCATCAAATATAAAGATGAATTACAAAGAAAGGACAAGAGGATTGAATGCCCTATTTAGCCTAAAATATTGAGAGGAAAGTGGCAAACAGGGCCAGAAAAGTAACAAAGTAAAGAAACCTCTGACCCTACAAAATACGTAACCTTACCAACCTATATTGAAGGGTGATTAGCTGTTTTGGAAGTTAGCAGTTTTCAGATATCTTGACTCTAACCAACATTCTAGAAAAGGATACCAATTTTTATATTAGCATTTTGGCAAATAACAGCTCTCCCATTCAGAAGCTTGAAAAGAACAATACACCTTAAAATACCATCTGATCTTCGTAAGAACCTAAATTATGGAAGCCCATGTATGATTAAATATGGCAGGCAATTGCCAACTTGTTCATTTTGCTTCTAGAGTCAGCTTCCTTATGCTTTGTTGGGATGTGCTGTTACAGATTCGCTGCCTCCCTTTTCTAGTCATTAATCTAAGCGTTTCAAAGTTGCCATGTATTGTCTTTCTTTTTAATAATCAACTCAATTTTTCTCTTGTTAGGGAGGCTGGATTTCACATTCTCATTACCAGCTACCAATTGCTAGTGTCTGATGAGAAGTACTTCCGGCGTGTAAAATGGCAATACATGGTATTAGACGAAGCCCAGGCAATCAAAAGTTCAAACAGGTTAGATGTGACATCTTTGAAGTAACTGTGTGGTTTGACCTAAATGGTTCTGTTGACTTTTTTTGGTTGAATTTTTAGAATATGTATCTGAAAAAAAGTGTAAAAAAAAAAAAAAAAACACTTAATTTTCATATGGTTCTCTTTTTTCCTGCAAAAATATTTTTAAAAAATTCAAAAATACCTTTTTTGGTTTTTATTTTTTTTTCAAATTAGTTTCTAAGTTTTCATTCAAAAATTCAGGAAATAAGTTCTAAAAACTCAACCAGACAGTGCCTAAAGGCAGAATTTATGAATGTATGTTCATTACTGCCTCTACTTTTTTAGTCTGGATTGTTTAGTAAGGTTTTTGTTTGCCCCAGAATAACCCAAATCAAAAAATAAAAATAAAAATGGTGTGTTTATCTGTATTTAAAGCCACAGTTATTCCTTGCTTCTGTATTGTCAACCTAAGTTCATGGATGTTTGATTTACAGACTGATGGTTATATTGTCTAAACTTATGAACATTGTATTTACAAATAAGCTACTGTATGCTATTATATATATTGTACTGCCAATAATATTTTATTTTCTAGCACACAATTTTGACATATGATCGTTAGAATCTTTTATAGCTGCACAGTCACCTTATACTTCCTTTTAGTCATATTTGTAATTAATTTTGATCCTACAGTATAAGGTGGAAGACGCTGCTTAGTTTTAATTGTCGAAACCGCTTGCTTCTGACTGGTACACCAATCCAGAATAACATGGCAGAGTTGTGGGCCCTACTACATTTTATTATGCCAACCTTGTTTGATAGCCACGAACAGTTCAATGAATGGTTTTCAAAAGGGTATGTTTCCTTCCATAAGAGTAATCTGTTTTCTGTCTTCTCAAATTGAACTAGTGAAGTAAGAAAGTTCCTTCCTTACTTCTTTATCATGTATTATCAGAATTGAGGGCCATGCAGAACATGGGGGCACTTTAAATGAACATCAGCTTAACAGATTGGTGAGTAGGCTTCTAATTTCTAAAATTTTATTGTGAATATAGGTGAATATATTGTCATTTGAGGACAGTTCTGATTGCATGTGCTAGGGGAGTTGGATTCTTATTTGTTTATTTTTATTTTTTTGAGGAACATCACCTTATCTATGAACATGATTTTTAAATAAGTTGGATAAGGACAAGGAGGGGATAAAGAAATATATATATATATACTAGTACCGCCTGTGCAAATATTGAAATGAAAAGATTATGTGAAAAAAATATGTAAATTAATTAGATTATTTAAGCTATCACTTGTATACTCTTTTTTAAGAGAAGCGTAGACGACTTAACTTCTTTATAAATTTTGGGCCCAGAAAGGTAAATTTATTGTTCGCAAAACACAATACACAAATACATTTTGATATTTCTTTGTTATCATTTATACTTGCCATGCATTTCTGCAAATAGTATAGCAATTACAATGATCAAGTGAGATTCATTTGAGAATGGAGGTTTAAGACTTGTTACAAGAAGCTTCTAAATTTCTCAAGCATCAATGTAAAGGAACTACGTGCCTTAGATTGCACAAGATGCAACCACTATGCATTTAGTAATGCACAACAAGTTTGCGCCAGAAACCTCCGGGCCAACTGAAATATGGGTGAGAGGCCATTTATGGAGCAGCTTGATAAAAAGAAAATAGGTCGTACGGTCGTTTTCCCTAAAGAGAATATTCAGTTTATTATAAACTTTTAAACTCAAATCCTGAAACCAACCAACAAAGAATATCTGGATACGTGTGTATGCATCAATTTTTCAAATATTCTTCAAGTCGCAATTAATTGGAAAGGCAAAGAAATAAAACCCAAGGAATTTTATACAGGGGTATATACGTCCAACATGGATGAAAACATAAAAATGAGTGAAACAAGCAAAATTGAAGTTAAAAATTAGAACTTTTTTGTGGGTATTTCACACTTAACTGAAAATATTACACAAAAGGCTCCGTTTGGTTTAGTTTTTGAAGTGAGTTTTGAGTTGTATTTTGAAAGATAAGTTGTTGAAATGAGTTTTGAAAGTTGAAATTGTGTTTGGTTATGAGTTTTGAAAATAGTTTTGAGATGATTTGTAGTTTTATTTTATTTTTTGATTGATTGATATGTAGAATGTGAGAGAATGAGAGATGAGAGAGAGAAAAAGTGATTGATTGATTTATTAATAATTAAAAAAAAAGAGGAGAGGAGAGAGAAAACACTTTTGAGTTGTGTTTTAAAAACATGTTAACCAAACATGTTTTTCAATTTTTTGACCCAAATCATGATTTGAAAACAAAAACAAACACTACCAAAGAAATTTACTTTTAAAGAGAGAAGAAAAGCACAACATCCCCCAATAAAACCCAAGCGATTGAAAGATTCCACGGTACCTTCTTTGTATGTGTTGTGGAGTTCAGTCAAGTCAAGTAGGTATAGTTTGAATCTGTAAACCCACTTTTTCAACCCCACATACACAAATCACACAGAAACTCAGTATTAGAAATGAAAATAAAGACTGAAAGCAACATTGACAACACACACAAATCACACAGAAACTCAGCATTAGAAAAGGAAAATAAAGATTGAAAGCAACATTGACAACAACAGCTCCGGCGGATTCAATCTGCGGTCATTGTCTCTCTTCGTAAGAGCTCGGGCGGTTGAGCCCAGGTGGTCTTTTCTCACTCTCTTCGCTGGTTCAGGAGCTCTCCTCCTTCGTCTTCTCTCTCTCACCTCATTTCGCCATCGCCGATGACAGTGGGTTTTCTTCCTTCGTCTGTTTTGTCTTCTCTGTCTTCGTTTCGTCTACCTCTTTCTCTCTCTATCTATCTCTCTTCGTTGGGCAGAGCAAGCGTTTTTCTTTTTCTTTTTCCTCTTTCATTCACCGATACAACATCGTTTTGATACTAAACGACAAGGATTCCAACGCCAAAGGGCAAAGGTGGCAGAAGATGGAAAAATATGACCCATCTCACTGTTCCCAAAACTTAAGGGACTCTTATAGTAGTATATATATATATTTGCTAGATTTTATCCACAAACAACCAAAATAATAAAAACTAGCACTAATTCAGCATGAAAAAACTACTTGATCTATAATTTAAATATCATTCAACATATAAAATACTATTCCATCAAAGATCGAAAATACTATACTTTGACCACCAATCCACCTTTCCAAAATTATAATAAAACCCCAAACATATCTTGTGGTGTGTTCAGACAGAGGGCATGCCGTCCTTGATGTGTTCCCCAACATGTCCCGTGAAATAAATCATAAAAAAACAAAGAAAAAAAGTTGGCAAGTCACGTGGCATTGCCGACACGTGTCCAAGCCGTTTCTTTGTCTGTCATGTGTCGGACACTGTTACAACGACTCAAATGGTGTGTCCATGCTTCATTGCTCTTTATTGAAGTTTGTATTTCAGTTTCTATTTTGCATTTTGATTTTCATCTTGTAATTGCAACTATCTTGTTGTGGATTACTTATAGAAAAAATCTCATCGTGGATCAATACATTGGTTCAATTTGGGGTTAGTCACTACAAGTGATCACCCCTTTTTTCTTATTCGTGAAAATGGAAAATCAAAAAGTTGAAATATGTTTTGTTCTTGTCACTAAGTTTTACTTATATAGGAAAGCCCGGCTATGACACTTTTTAACACCTGATGAGTCAATAATGAAAAACTATAGATAATTAGGGTGGCTTCTTTTTGTTATATGGCTTTGTGTGATAAGAGATTATTGATTTCCCTGCTATTATCTGTGTAAAAATCTTCTGGCTCTTTTTTTTTTTTCTTTCTCTTCTCTCTTTACCATCCCATCCCTTGTCCTGTCTTAATAATTCATATCCATTCCTTATGTATTCTCTGTTTACTTGTTTGTTCAAAGCCAATAAGTCTTTCATTGCATTTTCTGTAAGATTTATATCGGATCATCCTTTGTTTGGATGAATTGGAAGAACCAGATTCCTCAACTTATCTCTAGATTCTCAACAAAATTTAATACCGATTACTTGGGAACAGCTGCAAAGATTTGATTCTCCTGTGGACTCCTTGTGAAAAAAAAAAAATAAAAAATAAAAAATAAAAATCAACAAAGGCAATGATATGTTTTCTCACTGTCTTAATCTACACATTTGGTCTACTTTGCATGTCACAGACTGTGTCATATGATAATATCTATACTTGGTTGAAACGGGTGCCACTTCTAATTACCTTGATTGCAGTTTATCTTTTGTTTATCTTGACATCCCTTGTTGCCGAACTTATTGATCAGCCACATTCCATCTCATTATGCACAACTAATCCTGTAGCCATCTTATGAAACTATTGATTGACTTGCCAGGAAGTTTGTGATTACATAACACTCTAGTAGTACTCGCCCATCATGGTTGCGGTTTTCATATTTTTGGATGATGTCCTCCCAAGTCTCTCCCTTTTCATTGATTATTGATCCAAGAAAACAGAAATGGCTGCTTTAGTCAAGTCTCACTGTGCCTCAATCTGCCCCAACAAAAAAACCGTCCTCTTGATAACTCACTATACCCTCATTTCTGTCTACTGGTAAAGAGTTGGTTAGGTGGCCCCCAACTCCTAACTATATTGCTCAGGATACATATATTTTGTGTGAGTCGTGTGTGCTTGACCTGAAAATTAGAATTCAAGATTTTCTGTCGTTCTATCTTTGGATTGACCAACAGTAGTTTTCTCAACTAAATCTTTCTTTAAAAATGGCATATACAATGCTGTATAGCTTGATAAATGTTGTTGGGCCATTTCCTATCAGCTAAGTTCTTGAAACTAGTGATGCTCTAACATGGCATTAGAACTTTGGTTTTTAAAGGTCTTGGGTTCAAGTCTTTGCAGTTGTATTTGGTCCTTTGCTTAAGAAGCTTGCTTGTTTAACCTCTGTTTAGTTATCTGTTTATCTCTCCATGTGCAAGACAAGATCGCACATTGTTGGCCCATTTCCTAACAGCCTGAGTTTTTGGACTAGCTGTTCTCTAACACACCACATACCTGATCATACAAGATGCTTCCCCATGTTGTTACTCTTGTTTCCAGAGGGAATGGATTGCTTAAGTGGATAAGAATGTTTGGCTTGAAGCCATGACTCAAATTCCACAATGCATCTTGTTCAAGAGAACACATAACAGTGCAAGTAAACATGTAGTTAATATTTTCAATTACTCTCTGTGGACGTTACCAACTTTGTTATTCTTTCTGTTACTACTGCATTTGTATATTTGTGTTTCAAGAAGATTGTAACCAGTATGATCTTGTCTTGCTGCGAAAATATGAAAATTTCCATGTAGATGATTTGAATTGGTTTGGATTATATGAAGGGGTGTTGCTGATCAATATTTTGGCTTCTCTTTCTTTAACAGCATGCCATTCTAAAGCCTTTTATGCTGCGGCGGGTTAAAAAAGATGTGATTTCTGAGTTAACCACTAAAACTGAGATCACAGTGCACTGCAAGTTGAGTTCTCGGCAGCAAGCATTTTATCAAGCTATAAAGAACAAGATATCTCTTGCTGAGTTGTTTGACAGCAACCGCGGGCATCTTAACGAGATAAAAATTATGAACTTAATGAATATTGTCATTCAGCTGAGAAAGGTATTTTATTAGTCTTGTGGTTCTTGCTTTTGTTTGGTATATCTCTATTTACATAGTAAGTGTATGTGGATCTTATGTGAATTTTATCTGCTTTTTATGTCATTTTTTTTTAGACTTGAGTAGTTGTGTATCATCAACAAGTATTTCTTTTCTATTTTATTGTAGGTTTGCAACCACCCTGAGTTATTTGAAAGAAATGAAGGAAGTTCATACCTTTATTTTGGAGAAATTTCAAATTCTCTTCTGCCCCCTCCCTTTGGGGAGTTAGAGGATATATACTACCCTGGAGGTCAGAATCCTATTACATACAAGGTACCAGTTTGGCTGTGCCGCCCACTTCTTTGTCCCTACATACTTATGAGGTTATGCAATATATAAGAAGACAAGTAGAGTATCTTAAACACTGCAGTTGAACATATTGCATCTCTTAAATATTTTGGACCACTGACGCTCATTCTACTGTTCATCTGACGCATTTCAAATAGCAAAAATACAATGATTATGTGATTTGAAGAACATCTATTGGTGGGACTGCAAATTTGTCCATGCATATGGAGATTTGATGCCTTTTTTGGTAAGTAATGGGAATTTGATCCAATTAATTGGAATAAGGGTTAGCTGAGTGAGTTAGCTACATAGAAGTTACAAGGGTTTCAAGGAACAGGTAGCTTAAAAGAGGGGTAAAGATGGCATCAAATGATTCATAATCTTTTGAATGTCTGAATTTTTTGTCATGTGTGGAAGGGCACATGTTATGCGTGATTCTATGTTACATGGACTCAGGTACGAGTATCGGGTGTAGGTGTATTCAAGCGTCAGACCTTAGTATTGTCACAATATATTGCACATTATATAATATTCTCAGATGAGATGTTGTAAATTATCGAAATTAAAAGAATTCAGGGAAAATATGAAATTTCTATATCTAATTCATGTGAGAGGCTAAATATATTGTTTTACTAGCAAATGTGAGTTTCTTCTTCTTCATATATTGTCACAAATTAAAGGATTTGAGTATCTAAATTGGGTACGAGTGTTGGACACATATCCCACACCTTTATCCATGTCATATTCAGTGGACACGGGTACCTTCGGGGAAATAGAAGAATCCATGTAACACAGCTGTGAATGTGCTGCAGCCTGCAGGTATGCATTCTTGTATATTTATTCGGTGAGAGCCATGAAGCTTGCATAATGTCTGTCACCTTCTTGCAAGTTACATAGTCTTTTACTCGTAGGGTATCTGATTCTTAGTGAATATTTTTGTGGGAGATGTCTTGCATTTGTACCTCTACCCAAGCATGGGTCTAAAACAAAGTATGCTTAACAAGTCTCATAAAGAAAGCATCATATCATTTTATTTGATCTTCTTGTACTTGTACCAGGGATGCATAGTCGAGTGACTGTTTGAGAATCAAACTGAACAAAATCCAATGTCTAAGGTTCGTTTAGTATGGATCTAGGAAGCACAGATATGGATATAGATATGGATATGATACGGTGATATGACAAAACCTAAAAAAATAGGACATACAAATTAGGCTAAGATACATTTGTAAAAAATATATATATTTAAATTATTAGTAACAAGTTACACATTCTCAAGAATGTTAACCATAATATAATTTTATAATACAAAATATTAATTTTTAAGAATTAGGTATTAATTTAAGCCAATAGCTAGTCTACTTTTTTATTTTCAATAGGTCTTGCAAATATTTCATTCAATATCAAGTCTAACATTACAATTACAAAACAATCTCCATGTGCTTTTCCCTTTTGCACTATTTATGGAAGTTTAGTTGCTTATTTATTTATTGATATTTTATTTTATTATTGCCATATTCTCTTGTTAATCTTTATTGTTTATGCAGTTGTAAGGGACATGTATGATAAAGTAAGGATACGTTAATTTGACAAATTCTATCACTTTTAACTCATTATGTTCTTATCAAAGAACACACAATTATATTATATTATATTATATTATAATGCTATGCAAGAAATGCTACTATTCTAATTTCGTAAAAGAAGTAATACTCACTTGGAGTAATACGATAATAGTAATTAAGTATCTGATAAAAGTAATACGTGACGTGGAGCATCTGATACTTCAAAATTAATCAAAAATTAATTAAGAAGTATTCCGATACTCTCAACTAGTATCCATGAGTATCCAAGGAGGAATATCAGTATCAGAAACGATACGCCTCTCTTTTAGAAGTATCTGTGCTTCATAGGTATGGATTCTCCATTGATTTCTGTTGGGTATTGGTTCCTTTTTTTCGTAGAGCCTTTACCCCTTGGTTTGGGAGATTGGTCTATTTGAACCAAGCATGGAACATGGAACTTAGTTCTTTGAATGAGTGTTTTGCCAAACTATTTTTCCCATATTTCTATTTATGATGTAGGTTAGAAGACATGGCTGTACAAATTGCAAGAATTGTTGCTCTTTTCCATTGTAGGCAACTTGAACAGTAGGTAGTTATTCACCTTTCCAACTTGTCTCACATCAGTTGAAAATTAAGGTTTACTTTCTCCCTTTCCAATAAACAGCCTCTCAGGTCTCAAACTCCCTTAATACTAGCTCCGACGAAAACATGCATGTTATAAATCATGTTTTATTTGGGTGTAATCTAGTAGTAGTAGTCTTTGTTAATTTGAGGACTCCAGTAGGAACATAAAATGCAAGACCAATAGAAAAGGATACAAATGCTTACCTGGACAATTGATCAATAGAATGATATGTTGGCCCAATTTGCATGATCAATTTCACTTGCCTATTCAATTTTATGTGCTTTATTAATATGCACAATAACATATATACACATGTAGAGACATTTTCTCCCTTTGTGTTATGGCTGAGGGTTTTCTGTAATGCCTTCCAGATGCCAAAACTGGTATACCAAGAAGTTGTCCGGAGTTCCAGTACACTTTGCTCTGCAGTACGGCATGGTCTTAGCAGAGAATCATTTGAGAAACATTTTAACATTTTCTCCCCAGAAAATGTTTATCAATCTATGCTTGTAGAAGGGAATAGCCCAGATGGGTGCTTTCCTAAAAGTGGAGCCTTTGGGTTTGCTCATTTGATTGATTTGTCCCCAGCAGAGGTGGCATTTCTGGCAACTAGTTCTCTTATAGAGAGATTATTGTTTTCTATTATGAGATGTGATCGGCAATTTCTGGATGACATCATCAACATGCATATGGAAGCTGAGGATGATGATCTTTATGGTAATCAAATTGAGAGGGAAAAAGTAAGAGCAGTCACACGAATGTTGCTGCTGCCATCAAAGTCGCATACCAATCTACTTAGAAGGAGACTTGCAACTGGTCCTAAGGATGCTCCATTTGAGGCTTTTGTCATGTCACATCAGGATAGGGTTCTATCCAATGTCAGGCTTCTTCATTCAGCCTACAGTTTCATTCCGAGAACCAGAGCACCCCCTGTGAGTTCTCATCTCTGAGTATTTTTGGGTTATTCTTTTTATTCATAATCAGGAAGTTTCACTAATATTAGCGTCTCTTTCTTTGCTTTGTTTCTTGTGTGCTTGATAGATTAATGCCCACTGCTCAGATAGAAACTTTGCTTACCAAATGGTTGAAGAACTACATGACCCTTGGACTAAGAGGTTGTTAATTGGGTTTGCACGCACATCTGACCATAATGGCCCTAGGAAGCCAGATGGTCCTCCTCATCATTTGATTCAAGAGATAGACTCTGAACTACCTGTTTCACAACCTGCCTTGCAGCTAACATACAAAATATTTGGTTCATGTCCACCGATGCAAAGCTTTGACCCTGCAAAGATGCTTACAGTAGGACTACTCCTTCACTTCATATTTTTTCGTAGTCTTTTATGGCCTGTGTATAAATTATGGGATGTTTGAAACAATACTAAAGTTGAAATTTTAATTTATGCACTCCTAGGATTCTGGGAAGCTTCAAACACTGGATATATTGTTGAAACGCTTGCGGGCTGAAAATCACCGTATTCTTCTATTTGCACAGATGACAAAAATGCTGAATATTCTTGAGGTATTCTGAAAATTCTCTCTCTCTCTCTCTCTCTCTCTCTCTCTCTCTCATATTGCTTGATTGTCCATGCCATGGTCTCCATTCGGGATTTGATTTAAGGAAAAAGAATGAAACAAACTTTCACTACATTTGAATAACTATTTTAAGCTTGTGTATTCTCCGCAGATGTGTTCATGTCTGTGTGTGTTGTTTTTCTCAATGGACCTTATTGCCTCTTTATGGTCAAACATGGAGTTTAAGAAACTCTAGTTTGTGTAAGAGGTTCAGAAGCCAGAAGAATGAAAGAATTATCGAATGTGGGCAAGTTATGTTTCTAACAAATTTCCATTTGCATTAACTTGGACACTAAAATTGGAGAAAGCTTTGGATGGAAATGCCGGCCAAGGTTTATTACTTGTTAAATGTACCATTTAAATGACAAATTCTGAACATGGAAATTTATATCGACAGTGATCACATAGATTGTGATATTGAATATGAAAGTCGTATGATAAAGTCAGGAAGCTAGTTGCCAAAGCCATTGGAACAAACTGGTAAAATTGCTATAGCATCTTAATTGAAGGGTGGAGTTGGGAATTTGAATAGTATCTTCAATTGCAAAGCAGAAACCAGTTGCAAGGAAACTTTGAGATGGTTTAGATAATTTGAGGAAAATATTTGAAAATTAATTGAGGGAATGTTAATTCTTTTTTAATGATAAAAAGATTTGTGGGGTTGTAAGGCAATCTATCTGGCCTGCAATGCTCTTTCAAATGGTACCACAGCTGATCATTGCTTAAATCAGCTTGTGCTGCCTAGTACTGAAGCATTCTAGCTCAGATTCTCTGCACTTTCTGCATTCTCAGGCTTAGCTCAGTGCAATACTCTTGTTGGGTTGCTTACCCAATGCATTGTAGTAGTCGCAATCAAGCCAAGTGCATAAATTGGTATATATTACTATTATAGCTACTGTGGGGTTGTTAATGATTTTCGAACTTAGCTTGGTCTTTTTTGTTAAGCTAAACAACCTTTTTAAAGTCCTTTGACAGTGATTCAGAGGCCCTGCGCTCAGGTTCTCATAATAAGCTGAGCTTGCAAGTTAGCTTGGTGTCATCGTTCCTTGCTGCTTTATTGCATCATAACCAATTCACTCAAATTTAAACTGAACATTTTTCATTGAAATTTTGACTTTTTGCTGATTCTTTCATTCAATTGCAGGACTATATGAATTATAGGAAATACAGATACCTAAGGCTGGATGGATCCTCCACTATAATGGATCGTCGGGACATGGTGAGGGACTTCCAGCATAGGTACGGGTTTGTTGGCTAGTTTTTGAAGGACTTTGGTTTTTTATTTGTATTCTTGCTTCTTTTTGTGACTCAGTTATATCCACTGAATATGGAACCTTGTAAGTGACTTGATCATTGAACTGTTTATTGTCTCGTTGCAGGAGTGATATCTTTGTCTTTTTGCTGAGTACAAGAGCTGGTGGACTAGGCATCAACCTAACAGCTGCTGACACAGTCATTTTCTATGAGAGTGACTGGAACCCAACCTTGGATTTACAGGCAATGGATAGAGCTCATCGGCTGGGTCAGACTAAGGATGTTAGTTTCCTCCTGATCACTTTTATGGTCTTTCAATAAAACTGCATGCATGTGAATGGTTTGTCCTCCATGTTTCTGCTCTTGTTTTCACAGCATTTCTGAAATCTATTTCATTCTCAATTAGGTGCCGTTTGGTAACGTTTATAGTTTACTATTTTTTTTTTATTTAAAGAAAACACTAAACATGTTTATGTTTATTTTTGATGAAAATGAAAACAAAAAAAAAATGTTTGGTACACATCTAACTTGAAAACTTGTTTTGAAAACAAGTGACAGTGGGAGGTAGTGGCTGAAAGTGGTTGCTACCGTCGGAGTTGGTTTCTAGAAATAGGTGGTTGGCGGTGGCCAGACGTGGTTGCCAGCCATGGGAGGTGGTGATTGCAGCTAGAGGTGGTGGCCAAAGGTGGTTGCTGCCAGGTGGTGATTACCAGTGGTTGCGGAAGGAAGTCAAACAGTGACTTTGACTGGATGTGGTGATGAGTGATGTGAGTGAGGAGGAATGAATGAATACTTTTTTTTGTAAACAAGTGAAATAAATTTTTTGTGGTTACAACAGTTTATTGAATTTTGTAAACTGATTACGAGTTTTTGAAAATAAAAGTAGATAGCAAACAAGTTTTTGTATGTTTACAATTTTTAAAATTGTTATAAATGTAAACAAAAAACTATAGACACAAACATTACCAAATCATTGGCGAAAAAAAAGTTGACTATCCAAATTGTAGAATTGATACGTATTTTGTTGAGCATCTTTGAAAGGATTTGTTGAAGAATGATTTGCAAGACCATTTTTGATCACATTATTAACATTAAAGTGTGGACAGAATAATCTGATTTTGGAGATTCAAAGCTATGTTCTTACTTACCCTGAAGAGTATCTGTATCTTAAGGAATCCATTCTGATTATACAAATACATGACATTCGGTGCTAAATTTAATATAAAATCAATCTAGTGATAGTGTGAACCATATTTTGTAAGAAGTCAAACCAATTAAATTCTACAAGGCATTGTCGGAAGGGTGCAGCATCTTGGGGCATATAATGTGGAATGTTTTCTTGTTTTTTTCAATAAATTCTCAGTTAAAAGATTAGGCGCTTCATTCTGTACTCTCTTACACTCAAGATTTTGTTTTGATCAAGGAGTTACATAACTACTTTGAATAATAGTGATTCCGGATTTTGTATTACTAATAATTTTATTTCTTGATCTATTTTCATGATGTAGGTCACTGTCTATCGGTTAATCTGTAAAGAGACAGTTGAAGAGAAGATCTTGCAGAGAGCGAGTCAGAAGAACACTGTGCAGCAGCTTGTCATGACGGGTGGCCATGTACAGGGTGACCTCTTGGCTCCTGAGGATGTTGTTTCTTTACTTATTGATGATGCCCAGTTGGAGCAGAAATTGAAAGAAATTCCCCTACAGGTAGCCTATTAGTTTTCTTGTTTCCAAGACGCATTATATATTTAGCAACGGGTTCAAGGCATTTTCACAGTTAAAAATCATATTCAGAATGATTAAAGATCCTTATGTGGTATTTTTTTAATTTTAGGCTAGGGATAGACAAAAGAAAAAAGGTGGAACAAAAGGTATACGGATAGATGCAGAAGGTGATGCATCTTTGGAAGATCTTGCAAACAATGGATCACAGCCACAGGGAAATGAACTCGAACCCTCTCCTGATCCTGAGAAAGCAAAGTCTAGTAGTAAAAAGGTGCCAAAATCACTCTGTGCTCTTGATTTTTGGACTTGTTATGTGTGCATTACTTTATTTTGTTGAAGGGTTATCACCGGGACTTGCTAAAATGTCTGATCAAGCAATAAATTTCTCTGTTGTGTCATGTAGCAGATATGACAATTTTTTCCCTCATATTCTTCGGTGCTGAGGGCCTACCTATTTGTCCCATGATTGATCTTTTTATTTTTATTTTGTGGTGGTTAACCTCCTCTAAAGGGGCGGCTAAGCCTTACTGTTAGCATCCTTTGTGGTGCGGATTCGATTAACAGAAACCTCCTCTCCAAAAATGGTGGTATGGTTGTGTACATTTGCCCTGTCCAGATCATGTTTTAGCAGGAGTCTCGTACACCAAGTCATCCTTTTGGTTGTTAACCTCTCTCGAATATGTTCTGATACTTGATTACATTTCAAGTCTTGAATATGTTAACCTCTCTACCGTTCTTTTTCTTTCTTGTGGTTATTCAGTCTGTTCCTTTCTTTTGTTGGGTTAACTACATGTTGAAGTCAAGCTCAATGGTTGCAGTATAGAAACTATCCATTTACAGTAGTTGTTGATGATTTGGGTTGTCTGTGTGCAGAGGAAAACTACTGGTGAGAAGCAAACTCAGTCAAAGCCAAGGCCTCAAAAAGTTGCAAAAAATGTAGATTCTTCGTCCCCCAACTCTGGGCTGGGGCCAATGGACTATGATTTGGATGATTCGGTACAGTACGCTGATACACAGCAGCAGAAACCCAAGAGGCCAAAGAGACCAACCAAGAGTGTTAATGAAAATCTTGAGCCGGCATTTACAGCCCCCTCTATGGTGGCGGCTCTAGAGAAGCAAAACCCACCTGTCCATGGGCCTAGTTCTGGCTGAGGAAGATTTTTTAAGGCAATAGTAGCTTCTTGTCAACGGGGTAATTCTACGTGAAAAAAAAAAAAAGAAGTAAACTTTTACTTTGATCAATTGAGATGAAGTCTTTGTTCTGTGGAGGGATTTAAACTTTGATCATTGTGATGACTGAACTTAGACCAGAGGAGCAGAAGAAAGGGTGAGCAAGCGGAACTGTATGATAGTGTTGTATAGATTATTTTTTTGGGACTTCAATTTGTGTCCAGTTTTACTGGGTTATTACACTGGTAGATTTCAGCATGTATAGTTAGGATCTGTCTCCCTACCTATTTATAGTTGTAGAGAGATCCATATTAGATAAATGATTTTGTAAACGGCCGAAAGCTGCACTTATTTGGGGGTACATTACAGAGAAATTTGACACATCTCTCTCTCTCTCTCTCCAGGCTTGGAGAAATTGTTTGTATTGGGTTCTGCTGTTTTGGTATTTCTGTGCTGCTATTCAGATGTTCAAAAAATTGTTAGATTGGAGCATCAAACAAAAATTAGCAAGCGAAATTTTATTTACACGACAGGTTTACCTCATGACATCATTTTTCTAATTAAACCTCCCTTAAAATTCAAAAATTTTGTTTCATTACTGTACACATTTATTTCAGTTGTACCCTCGTCCATAACCTCCTCTTTTCTCCTTACAATCAAAATCTTTCGAGCCTTCTATCTCCATCTACTACGAGTGAGGATCCTCTCCTTGCAGCTTCCGTGCTTGCGCCCGTCCTTGCAGGCCTTCGGGTCTACTTTTAGGCCCAATTTTGATAATCCGAATCGTACATATTTTATGATTTATTCAGTATATCATACCTGTAAAAAATCAAATTGATCGGATATCAGAAAGCATATGTTCGAAAAACTGTTTATTAAATTCTTTAAAAATTAGTGTTTAGTTCAATTTTTCAAACACATACTTTCTGATATCCGATCAACTTGATTTTTTACAGGTATGATATACTGAATAAATCATAAAATATAAACGGTTCGGATTATCAAAATTAGGCCTAAAAGTAGACCCGAAGGCCTGCAAGGACGGACGCAAGCACAAGCTTGCAAGGAGAGGCTCCTGACTCATCTACTACCATCACTGCTGCCATCTCTGACCACAACCCTGCAACTCTACTGGCATGGCTATCACCTCGCAACTCCCTACCACCGCAATCATAACCCTGCAAGCTCCCACTATGATCACCACCTTCGAAGCCTTCTTTTGCAGGTTTCTTTTCAACCTTCATCTGCAGGTCTCGCATTTTGTTCTGCGTTTTGTTCAAACCTTCATCTGCAGGTTTCGCATTTTGTTCAGCAAACAAGTGCTGAACATACTTTGATTGTTCTTTGTGCATCGGGACATAGCCGAACAAATTTTGTTCGTTCAATTGGAAATGACTGAATAAACTAAGTTTGTTCAATTTTGTATTGCCGAATGGGTCAAAATTGATTAATTAGTCATGCTCGGTCATAGAAGTTAGAACAAACTTACATTTTTTGGCTACATATGAACGAACAATCTCAATTTGTTTAGTGAATCAGAGCTGAAACGAGTTTTGAACCCAATTTTATCAAATAATGTGAAATTATACAAACACAGTTGAACATCATACCCAAACATCTTTTAAATACCAAAAAAACAAAAAAAACCCGTATATATTACTTATTTATAATGATAATATATACATTCTAAGTATAAAATTTATTTTGTTTGTTGTTTGTTGTATGTATATATATATATATATATATTCTTTAAGATAGATGTATTTAGATTTGTAGATAGATGGAGCGAGTAAGATGAGAAAAAGGATGACGGTGATTGGTGGAAAGAAGGGATGGTGGCTAGGTGGTGGGTGATGGAAAGAAAGATGAAAAGATACCTTAATAGTAATTTCATAAAGGGATAAGAATGTAATAAAAAAAATTATCAAAATGATGAGTGTAATAAGCTAAAAGTATTGTGCAAGTAGAATTTCTCAATTAATAATTTGGAGATTATTATATTTTTGGTAGTAGATAGGAATTCTTGAAATGGTTAATAGCAATTCCTTTGAGAAACATTCAGCTTCTTAAATTCTCATATTTTGAATTAAATAAATTATATTCAAAATCTTTGTACTAACCTTGTATTTAATGAATTAAACTAGCTTGGCCCTCCATCACACTAAAATTTGTACTAACCTTGGGAAGACAGAGATTGGTGGAAAGAAGGGATGGTGGCTAGGTGGTGGGTGATGGAAAGAAAGATGAAAAGATTCCTTAATAGTAATTTTATAAAGGGATAAGAACGTAATAAAAAAAATTATCAAAATGATGAGTGTAATAAGCTAAAAGTATTGTGCAAGTAGAATTTCGCAATTAATAATTTGGAGATTATTATATTTTTGGTAGTAGATAGGAATTCTTGAAATGGTTAATAGCAATTCCTTTGAGAAACATTCAGCTTCTTAAATTCTCATATTTTGAATTAAATAAATTATATTCAAAATCTTTGTACTAACCTTGTATTTAATGAATTAAACTAGCTTGGCCCTCCATCACACTAAAATTTGTACTAACCTTGTGATGGGTGTATGTTTTTATTTTTTATTTTTAGAACCAATTGCATTTGTGAAGCCAACTAGAATTAAAAGTAAGACCACTTATTTAAATATGTTCTTTTTGTGCAGCTCTAGTTAAGTTATAAGTAGGGGGTTCATTTCATCTAATCAATCAATAGAATGGGGTTTAAAATTCACACACTTTCTGATTGTGTGAATAAATTTGCTTTCTCTACTGGGTTGGGCGCAACTTGTAGAACTTGTGTAAACATATTTTTAAATTCAATACAGGATTTGGAAAAAAAATTCAGAAATTCAATATAAATTATATAAAATATTAAATACACATAAAAAAAGGGGGTAAATTACATTCACTTTCCTTGAAATTTGAAGAAAAAATATAATTAGTCTCACAATTTTGACATATTTACACTACCTTTTTAGTATGATTAAAGTAATTGAAACTAAGTCAATGGTAAATAGACACTAAAATAAACAAGGATATAAATATACATTTTAATATTGAAGAGATGCTAATATCATTTTTTTTTTCATTCATACAGTTAACAAATTATTGATAAAAAAAGAGAAGACACAAGTGTTATTTGAATTAAACTTTGAGAGAGATTAATATAATTATATAAAAAATATAGAACTAATTATATATTTTTTAAACGGTGAAATACCAATAAATTCCAAATAGTAATCCTATAAACGGTTTGGTCCTCCAATTATTCTTACAGACTCAAAAATCCCATTCTAATGTGAATTATATAAAAGTTGAGAGACAAATGTGAGTTTTTTTAAAATGTTGAAATTACTAAACGTAATACTTTAAAAAAATTCGTTAGTGTACTTTTTCTAAACGTAACACTCCAATATAACATATTAAAAAACTTCTTAGTATACTTTTTTCAAATGTAACAACGTAACATTTCAAAAAAACTCCTTATTGTATTTTTCTCAAACGTAACACTCCAATCAATGTACTACACAAAAACTCCTTAATGTATTTTTCTCAAACGTAACGCTCCAATGTAATATACTAAGAAAATGCTTAATACGAGTTTCTCTGTTGCGAATGTCAAGTTGATGAGTAGTATGCGGATGAATGCCCCATGTAACAATGGGCATAATATTGCAGATGGTAGTTTTATTGAATTGAATCGGATTGGCAGTCTTGGAGAGATCATGCAAAGTATGCTTGATTTCCATGGCAGCAGTCTTAATGAGTATCTGTTCGTAAATAAAACGGTACTGGTCAATGTGGTGGGGTGGGGGGGAGGAAATTGTTGAGTCGTAAGATAGTGACGTTTAATTTCCCATGGATCTGACATCCATTTTCCATTTGCTGGTTCAATGTAAAGAACTGTTTCTTCAGTAATACTAGTCGGAGTGTACTGTTCAGGAGTAAGGAGGACATCCTTAGTGGATTGGCCAGAGGATTCCCCTTGATTACTGGTGGAGGCTTGTAATGCTGGGAATTCTGTTATATATGGATTCTGGTAATAGTTGTCCCGGCTCCGGCCCCTGCGACCCGAGCCATGGCTACCTCTACTGTTCATGAGCCCTGCAAATATTCATGAGTGAGAAAGTCTGGTAAAGAATTCTGTTCTCCTTTGATATAATCAATATCAAAGTCAAATGCAGATAAAGCACTTTGCCAATTGGAAAATATCTGTTTGTGAGCAAGATTAAGAACATCTTTTTTAAATATCTGTTTAGTTGCTGAACAATACGAATTAAAAATTTTTGGTTTAGCAAATCATCCTGAAATTTGAAACACATTTAACAATAGCTAAACACGCTTTTTTAATTGTTGGATAATTTAAAGCAACTTTAGTCCAATTTCTTGATGTAAATCTTAATAATTCTTCTTGTTTAGTGGTAGGATTAACCTGTTTTAAAATACCTCCATAACCATAATTAGAGGTATCAGTTTATACAATTTTTTGCCATTCTGGATTTGGTAAAGCAAGACAGGGAAGTTGTTTTACTTTAGTCTTAATTTTTTGTACGGCAATTGTGTGTGCTTCAGTCCATGGAGAAGGATTTTTCTGTAATCTGGTATACAGGATAGCAACATCCTGTGATAATTGATTATAGTAATCCCTGATATAATTTAAACTACCAAGAAATCTCTGTAATTGAGTTTTATCTTTTATTTTCTCTGGAAATTTAGAAGCAAACTCAATACTTCTGTTAATTGGTATAATAGTACCATTATGAATATTATGACTAAGAAAACGTACTGTTGTTTGAAAGAGTCTCATTTTTGGTGCAAATATTACTAGACCATTTCTGATAATAACATGCTTAAATATATTAAGATGCTTTATATGTTGATCAATGGATGATGAAAAAAATAAGAACATCATCAATATAACAAATAGCAAATTCTGTATAAGGAGTAAATATATTATTCATGATATGCTGAAATTCTGATGAAGCATTTTTTAGACCAAATGGCATAACATTCCATTCATAATGCCCAAAGGGTACTGTAAAAGAAGTTTTAGACCAAACGACTAATCTTGCCACACCTCTTTCCATTTCTGTATTTTTAATGCTGTACAACTCTATAGAGAATGACTAGTTCTGATTAACTTCTTTTGGAGAAGATTTTGAATTTCAGTTTTACACATTTCTAAACATTCTTTTTTCATTTGACTAGGGCGAGCTCTGGTTGGGATGAATCTCTCATCAAAGTCTGGTTCATAAGGAATATAAACTATCTGCTTCTTTCTTTCCCATAAAGCATTGGGAATATCACTACAAATTTTTGTTTGAAATGCTTTTTCAATTATTTTAATTTTAGTTTGTAAAGATGATTGTTGTAATTTTTC